TAGTACGTCTATGTCTGGAATGGGAGATAATCTATTTCAGTTGTTTGAAGATGTCTAGAGATGAATTTGCAGAGAATGTATTAACTTAAATCTTCCCCTCATACTTCCCCTCACAACTTCCTAGGAGCTAAAGTCCATTTTCATTACCTTTTCTTTTATCTGCCACCCTTATTCTGGGACCATTTTCTACTACCCATACTCTTCTTACCTTTTCCCTGTCCTATCATGGTAAACACACCCAAATAAGAAATCATATCCTCAAACCCCAAAGGGTATCTGCTGCCTCAAGTCCATGAGCATCTAAACTAGAGGGAAGAAAGCAGATTCCAAAACACCTGTATTTACTTAAATCAGAGCTTCTCAATAGAGGACAGGACCTCAAGCCTATTGAGTTGGGGTGGGGAATGGGTTTCAGTAATGAGAATGCCAATTTTAAGGAAATGACATTTAGGACCTTTAGAACTTTTTTGTAATTATGCATGTGGAAATGGCTCATGGTTTCACGGAAAGTGGTCAATTTCTGTTGTTTATGTTGTGTAAAATTAACACACACTACTCCTTTGTGTGAATTTTCCTCTTATCTTTGTTCCTGATCGTTAGGCCACTACTCACATATGTGTATGTCATTGGATATGTTCTGGATTTACTTTATATAGTTTTTTATTAAAGCACCCTTTCCACCTCTCTTCATTACTACTGCTGCCTCACTAGCCCAAGCTCTCGTTAGTTCTTGCCCGAGCTATAGCAATAGCCTTGTTACTGATTTCCCTGTTTTCTCTCTTGCCCATTCATAGTCTGTTCCCCACACAATAAGCAGAGCAATCTTTTTAAAAACATAAATCAGATCAATCATATTCGTCCTTAAAACCTTCCACAAATAACCCTTTGCATTTGGGATAAACCCAAGCCCTCATCTTGTCCATAAACCCTAACACTGCATGGCTGCCTCTCCTTTCTCCTCTCCCTTGAACTCACCGCACCTCAGTCACACCAGCCTTCTCTCTTTCCCTGCAGCTCAACAAAGTCCTTTTGCACTTTGAGAACAAAAGAGTCATCTCTTGGTCTCCCTTGTTCTGAAAGTTGTAACTACATGATTTCTTTTCTCATTTAAAGGCATTATAATCAGCTTCCAGGTTCCTCCTTTATCATTTCCACGTTACAGACACAAGAATTACAGAATCTTGTTAGATAGTATTTTCCCAAGCTGCATCAAGGGAAACTACAACTGCCCCACGCCTGCTCTTCTGGAAAGTTACTGTATATCCTCTATGGAAAAATACAGCAAATCTCTTTTATAAACTTTGAGCTAGCATATTAGATGGTTCTCGCAGTTTATTAAAATGTACAGTAAAATGTATAGTGCCCAGCGCTCTCCAGCTTGCTATACCCACTTAAAGTGCTCCATTACCTAACTAACTAGCTAGAGGAGAATAATGATTTATTACACTTTATAAATTATATTCAAAGTGAAATATCAGTTGTTGATGGTGTTCTTTTCATTTTCATGGATAAGTGGAGTCACAGTGGATTTACTGTTCAGTTTGAATTTACATCTTTAAATCTTGTTTGGACTCTGGGTATCTCCTGAATTTTTCTTAGCAACAGTCAGCCTACCATCCTGATTGACCATCTATTTTCTGTTCTCTTTTTGTTATTTTATTTGTATTAAATATCTGAGAAGATAAAAATAAAGGAACTGTCTGGATTTGTATTTTCTACATGCTGTATGTCTGTAGCATTTTTTTCTTCCAGGTCCAGTAAAACAGTGGTATTTGAATCCACATTAACTACCCATCTCCATGTTTCTCCTTCAAGTTATCTCCTGCCAGGAAAGCAGAATTATAGCTGAAGATATATCATTATAACATTACTATTGCTCTCACTGACAATTACTACTCAGTCTGATGATAACAAAATTTGATATTGGGTGTACATTTACATTATCCCAGGAACAAGTAGGTAATTCTTCAGTGTCCCATGGCAGACCCCCATGTTCACGCTCTTTACAAGCTATAGGGAAGAATGGTCCACCGTCATGGAAACGTGCCCAGCGCCACTCCATAGATTCTCCCTCTCTAGATATATGGAAGCAAATAGTGACTCTGGGTGATCCTCATCCCTTGGGATTTCATGTTTCATTGTGTTCTATGTTAAATAACACATGTGCCTGCTTTAACAGTACCTTTGGTTTATAGTACAATTTATCATCAGCCTTGATAAACTGGATATCCGATGAACTCAAAGTGAGACATTGTTTTAAATAATTTTTAACTGTGAGTTTTAGCTATTGAAGGAATACTGGAAAGTCAGTGACGACTTTCCCTGTGAAGTAGTAATTCTAACAGTTGAAGCATGTTTATATTTCTAGAGCCTTTCTTTGAACCCTAAGTATTTTATAGATATTTACTAATCCTAGAAAATTCTCTGTATGTAAAAAGGTAGTGTCTCCTTTTTTTAGGGGGGTATTAATGCCCACACTGCTTAAGTGAGTTGCCCAAGGTCACTCAGTGAGTTGTTGGTAAAGCCAGAAATAGAATCCAAGTCTCCTGACTCCCAATTCAGTTCTCTATCCTCACTATAGTTTTCTATCCTCTATATACCCCTGCTGCCTCTCATGGGAAAAGAAGTTAATCTTCCAGCTATTAATAGCCACCAAATTGGTGGTAGCAGCACAGTGGAGAAAAGTAACTGTCTTTATACTGCAGCATTAGTATAAAAATATCTGGTAATGGAAAATTTGACAAATGTCATGTTAAAGGTAGTGGAAAATTATTTTAAGATCTGGATCTCATTTATCTAGTTCTCAGAAAAGTAAAATTTCTTAGTAGAACAGGGATCATATTTTTCTTCCTGTTTTTAAATTGTATTTCCTAGAGGGTAATTGTCAACCTAGCCATAGCAGAGCCTATTGTCAACTAACTTAAAAAGAATAATGCATGTACTGTTGGTGATTGCTATAAGTATATTTTCTAACTTGGTTGGAAGTTTGAATTGCTTTATTGAAATACTATATCACACTAATTTCATTCAGTTTTCAGTGTTAATATTATATAATAAAGCAAATATAACATCAATTGAGAATTTTACTGCATGATTTGAAAACATGGGCAGAGGTGCACGTTATAGTTTCTTCCCTGGACAATACACTGCAAAGTTACTTCATGTGGCACCATGAAGTTCACCAGAATGAAATAGGCAGAGCAGAAAAAATAGTTAAGAAATACGATATATAAGCACACTGCAGCTGATCAATTTATTGTTATGTATGTAACCAGGTTTTTACTCTATACATTTAAAAAAAGGTGCTTGAGAGGTGTTTATGTACTTAAATATTAAAGCATGTCTAGTATGGTGGGACTTTACACCTGAGTTTAAACAAAACAATTTGTCTCTTAATTTTGGACCAATAAACAAGAATTCTCCTACTAAAAATCTCTGTGTATGATATTTCTGTTTAAATATTACTATAAGTCAGGGGTCCTCAAACTACGGCCCGCGGGCCACATGCGGCCCGCTGAAAACATTTGTTTTTTTACTTCAAAATAAGATATGTGCAGTGTGCATAGGAATTTGTTCATAGTTTTTTTTTTAAACTATAGTCCGGCCCTCCAACGGTCTGAGGGACAGTGAACTGGCCCCCTGTTTAAAAAGTTTGAGGACCCCTGCTATAAGTGCTTAATTAGAAGAATCACGGGGTCAGAATTATATGTAAGTGTAAGAGAGGTGGGATTGGTGGAGGCTGGAAAATGCAAGGAAAAAGGTTAAAAAAAAAATCTTGTTATTTGAGACCCAGGTGACTGAGAAGGTAGTGGCAGGAGGTAATTAGAAATAAGGGAGTATAGAATAAGAAAACTAGAGGATCGAGTACATATCCCTGGGGAAATGTATACATTTATTGGATGGAGGAAACAGAAGGTAACACATACTGGAGAGGTAGTAGGGAAATCATTTTAAAAAGCTACAGAAGTTGTAGGATTAGGGCCTAGGAAAGTTTATTAAACTTGGTACTTCCTGGCATTTGGGAGGCTTGCTTTTACAGAGGGATAGAGGTCAAATAAGAGTACTCTGAATTCTTCAAATTAGGCTTATTTATCTTTGGTATTAATCTAATTTTTGCAAGCCTGTAAATTATTATGATACAGGAAATAAGCCACCAGAATGCTTAATTAATTACTATGTGGTGTAGTTACAGATACAATTCTTTCATTCACCTTGGATATCATTGGTTATTGCCATTCTCTTCTTTACTTTAGACTAGACATTCACTCAATTAGTAATAAACTGATGATATTTTACATAGAACAAGTTATAATATGCAACGCCTAAAAATGTTGCATACTTTATTGTTGTCTTAAACCTTAATCAAACATGAAAGCTGGATGGATATTGCTTATGAATTTTATTGAAATTAGTTGCAAATTTGTTTTCATGATTATTCAGTATTTCAAGATAGCTATATCTATGAAATAATATTTATATTAGCCATATGTTATTTATTTTCTGTAATAGAATCTCTTTATAAAGTTATTAGCAATAACTGATGTGTTTTTTTTCCTTTCCAACTTATTTATTTTCTTTCAAATTTTTATAATTTGGCAGAAAATGTGCTTTATTATCGGTGTTTTGTTTTGTTTTTAATCCTCACAAGGATATGTCTTTATTGATTAGAGAGAAAGAGAGAGAGAGAGAGAGAGAGAGAGAGAGAAGCATCTATTAGTTGCCACTGTACATGACCTGACTGGGAATCGAACCTGTAACCTTTTGGTATATGGGACAACACTCCAACCATCTGAGCCACCCAGCTAGGTCTTGGTTTTATTTTTTTAACTAATATGGTTATTGGAAAACTTTACACAATCCAATATACAGATGATATGTCATAGAAACATACACTTGAAACCTATATAATCTTATTAATCAGTGTCACCCTAATAAATTTAATTTAAAAAACTCTAAATTTAGGCAACATTATTGAGATTCTTTTTAATTTTGTTGAACAGGCACATCTTCAAGTGAATCTAATCTGCTTAACATTCCTTCACAAAAAAGAACTCGAAGAAAACTAATGTCTTCTCCATTGAAAACAGAACCTACCCAGAAGTCTGCACTGTCTGAAAATATACAGCTCAATGATTCTTTCAGCAAAGAACTTCAGCCTATTGTGTATACCCCAGAAGACTGCAGAAAAGCTTTGCAAAATCCATCTACAGTGACCTTATTAAAACCATCGTCTTGTACTACGAGTGTTCAGGCCGCCGGCTCAAATATATACAGTGAGAATTCTCTGAAAATGTCATCTGAAGTAGATCTACCTGTTATCAGGAGAAAAGAATATAGACAGGAGGATTTGGACTCCATGTTTACTATATGTGAAGACACCGGGAGATTGAACAGCAAATTACCTGAGCAACAGTCGGTATCAAACAATAACATTGTACAAAGGTATAGAAAAAGAGTACTTGTCAACTTTTGTCCTTTTTTTGGTAGCCTTTAAACTATTAGCTTTTTTTCCCCCTTTAGCTATATTTGAAGTGTATTTCATATATCAGTTTTAAACTTGCTATCTTAAATTGATTGACCCTCTTTAGGCTTGAAGAGACCTTAACATATATATGTAGTTTGTTCTTCATGCTGAAATCATGAAGATTACCATGCTGATTATTATTCACTAATATCTTCAGTACAGGAAATTTCACAATTTCTATTGATCTTTAGCAAACCTCAGCGTATTTTGAAATAGTCTTACGTCTAAGGTATGGTTGACTACATGTCATCCCAGCAGACATATCCTTCTCATTTCATCTGTTATTATCACAACTAATCTAGTAAATATGGGGAGACTGACACCTTCACCTTTCTCTGCTATTCAGAATGCAGAAATCTCTGTCTATGGTGTAAAAGTGAAAAAAGAAAATCCCAGAGTAAGCAAGGGAAATTTTATAGTATAATGCTTTCCTCTATATCAGCGGTTCTCAACCTGTGGGTTGTGACCCCTTTGGGGGTCAAACGACCCTTTCACAGGGGTCGCCTAAGACCATCGGAAAACGCATACATAATTACATATTGTTTTTGTGATTAATCACTATGCTTTAATTATGTTCAATTTATAACAATGAAAATGCATCCTGCATATCAGATATTTACATTATGATTCATAACAGTAGCAAAGTTATAGTTATGAAGTAGCAACAAAAATAATTTTATGGTTGGGGGTCACCACAACATGAGGAACTGTATTAAAGGGTCGCGGCATCAGGAAGGTTGAGAACCACTGCTTTAAAGGCATCTCTGACCAGGTCGGGCTGACCCAGGACAACCTCTCTTTTAATTAACTCAGAGGCCAATGAGAGTAACCTGATCATGGGAGTGAGAGCACATCAGACATTCAAGGGGAGGGGATTTAAGAGACACATATTCATTGAGGCAGAAATCCAGGGAGCGTTTTAGAGTTCTGCCTACTGCAAGAGCCTCTATTCCGTGCTGTGGTCTGAGAGGGAAAGAAAATCCAGAAGGAAATGTCACCACCGCCTCCTCCTGGGAACATGGGCGGCCATGGCGCTCTCTGTCAGAACGTCTCTGCTCACCACTGGTCTCAGGGGCCTGGCTCTCAGGGGCAGTGTCATCTGAAATTGGCTTTGATTCCTCTAGGAACCAGAAGACCTCTGATTTATGTGATTTCTACCAAGTTCTAAGAAAATAGTGAATTTGGACACTTGATCCCACAAGTTTGCTTTATATGGTCTTACAAGTCTTCTTTCTCCTTGTCTGGTGGTTAAAGCAAAAGGAATTCTGTTTGCTTGACTCATCAGTGATTATGGCTTAAAACCCCAGCAGCAACAAACATAATTATGTAAGTGATTTAATGCTTAAATGAATAGCTTAAGAAGACCTACCAGTACAGAAGAGGAAAATAAGCTGTAGAGAGCCTGACCCTCTCTGCCTCTTTTCCTTTCAGCACTTAACAATGTGTGGCATTATGTGGAGGCCAACCATAGGATGGGAGCCTGCAGATTATCAGCCATCTCACTGCCCTGGGGATGCAGAATCGTCGTGTGTAGATTCTGCCCTCCAGATATTTATTTGCCAAGTTCTAAACTCTGTGGACTAAGAGTTCAGGAAACCAAGCTGAAGGTAGCTGCTAAGAGACTAACATATTAAGCAGAGTTTGGACATTATTATGAGAGTAGGACACAAGAATTCTTGTTTCAGAGTCATCATGGAGAAAGAGCTGTTAGACGCCAGGATTTTATTTGCGATCCCTGAAGACCTGTGATCCAAGAGTAGGGAAAACTGGAAATAGACCCATTCTTGAAAGCCTAAAACAGACCTTACACCAGCTCAATCTCTTTTCAGATCAAGGTGATCTATTCTGCCTGCTTGCCAGAAGAAAATTATGGTTTTCATACACCATGTTTAATACTTAAGCAAAAATTAGGAAGTATGCCAGGAGACACCAGGACCAAATGACTGAAAATCAAGAGAAGTAAAATTAGAGAGGCAGTGATCCGCAGTGATGCAGATATTGAGATGATCAGATAGGGAACTTTAAAATTTAACTGTGATTAACAAAATGTTGAACAAAATAGATGACAATCTTCCAAAGAACTATATTCTATTAAAATGAATCAAATGTATACTCTAGAACTGAATAAATAGAATTACTGAAATTAAGAACTCAATAAACTATTTTAACAGATTAGGCACAGCAGAAGAGAGTTGATTGAACCAGAAGATAGATTGATAGAGGAAAAAAAAAGCCCAATCTATGTACAAAAGGATAAAAAGATAGAAAATATAGAGAAAACAAAGAAAAATGGAGCACAAGGAAAAATTTAGGACACAAGGAAAATGAAATACGGGACATCTGTATTTTAAGTGCCAGAAAGAAATGAGAAAAAGAATGGTGGAAACTAGTATTTGAGAGTATGTTGACTAATAATTTTCCATAACTGACAAAAGATAATTCACAGATTCAAGAACCATTGCAAACCACAAGCAGCACACGTATAAAGAAAAATATTCCTATGTACATAGAAGTAAAATAGTTAAAAATCAAAGGCAAGGAAAAAATTGTAAATATACTGAGTTATATGATATGAAGTCCATTTTATATAATCTTTATATCCTGCAACATTAAATGCAGTGATGAGAGTTGTATTTTAAAATGGGTCTGACTTACTCTCCCTTTTATTTTGACATGTGGTTGTGGGGAAAAGAGTGTAAGATCTTAAACTTAAACCTCCTTTAAGTTTTTCATTTTCCACTATGGACCTAGTCTCATCTGGGCTAATGTAAACAGATTTACAAAAAGCCTGTTGATTTGTCCCCCATAGAGTATCATCTCATAGGTTCATTTAGGATGTGCCCTTTTCTCTCCAACCAAAGTACAGCAGGCCTTGGAATATGTGCAATAAAAACTCATGGATTTTTTTTTTCTGAATGTCTGCCTATCCGTGACATTTTAAATTTTGTATTTTGCTATGGCACAAATTTGAATTGTGCAATTTGTCTGGCTCGTGTATGGCAATCAGTCACCTTCATATGTGACTAATTTGTGTTTTCTTCCACGTAATCACTAATTTTCATTGTGTTGATTTTGTTATTTCAATTAATTAATGTTGGTGACTTCTTGTTCTCTGCTGGTAGCATTCTCTGTTGTGTTAACTAAGATGTGGCAAAAGTTTATAGCTAAGAATATTTTTAAGCTGTAAACATAGTCATTATCAAAATCAAAAGTCCAGGTATGTAATGTGTATTTGGAGTGTTTTTAGATATTATCAGGCTTCCACATGAGCAACTAATATTGTGAAATAGTATTAAAGGACACATAAAGAAAGTAAGATTTCTCATAGCCTATTAATTGCTTTATTACATTCCCTCTGGTATCAGTAATTAGATCCTGCCATTAACTATGGTTAAAAGAGATTAATGGTAGAAATGTACATAATTACCTTTCTTTTTCTTCTTTTTCCCCAATTAAATCTACATGAGCTTGAAAGTAATAAACTCTGGTATTTTCCACTTAGCAGCTTTATGTACATGTTTAGGTGTGTTTATATTCTAATATGATTTTTGAAGGTGAAAAGGGGAAGGATCTATGTATATATTTATTTTATTTTTTTTGGTATCAGTTTTTCTCTCTGAAAAAAGAATATTATAGTCCAAAAGCACTGAATATTCAAAAAACCTACCAACCTGGATTTTTTAGGTACTAGTTAAATGAGAATATTAAATTTTTAATCATTTCAATTTATTTAATATCACAGTAGCAGACTATTTTAACTAAATCAGTCTACCAAAGGTATAAATACAATATATACATATGTAAAAATTTACTTATAAATTAAATTAGAGTTTTTGGGTTTCGTTTGCTTTGTGTTTCTTTGGTTGTTTTGTTTGTTTGTTTTTTGGGGTTTGTTTTTTTTTTGGTTTTTTTTTTGCAATCTTTCTCAGCATCCAGAAATGGTCTCATACCTTGCATTACATTTTTGGTTTATTTTGAAAGATGTCTAATGATTTCAACTAGAAATTATCTCAGCTGAAAGAATATGAGATGCTTTATGTCTATTAAGCAGTAGCATTCTTCCTATGTAAGAGAACAAACGGTTAAATCCTAACTTTTTTATCCTCACCCAAGGACATTTGATTTTTTTAAAGAGAGGGAAAGGGAAATAGAGAGAGAAACATCTTTGTGAGAGAGAAACATTGATCGGTTGCCTCCTACTTGTGCCCCGTAGCGGGTTGGGGTTCAAACCCACAACCTGGGTATATATGTGCCCTGACTGGGAATCAAACATGCCACCTTTCAGGTGCACGAGATGATGTTCCAACCAAATGAGCCACGCTGGCCAGGGCCCTAACTTTTATTAATAGTGTGGAAATTTATCAGGCACACAACTAGAAGAATCTTTAGCTTTCTTCTCAATGTAATCTCTACCGTAATTTGAATTTGGAATCATATACCAATTTTAGATGGGTTTTTTTTAATTTAGTGATGTGACATAATTTTATAACATAAATGTTAAACATTTCATCAGTGGACTATTTTATCTAAATTTATTAACTGTTTTAGTGTATTTTACTTATACATAAATAAATATACAACATATTAGGCTTTGATTTCATTCCAAATATGAGTTTTATTCAGATAGTTTTATTCAAAAGCTTAATTTTTCAAGTAAAAATCTGTAAGTAAAATACACATGTCCTAAAACTAGCCAAAGTGAAGAATCCATAAAATAATAAAGACAATTTTAAGATAAATTGTAAGGAAAAACAACACTTGTCAAAATTAACCAATGACATTGATCTTTATACTTAAAGAAATAAAATCATCAAATGACCAAAAAAGAATTTTTGCCTTAGACAACTGATACGCATATTATCAGAAAAAGGTGTTTAATGTGTTTTTACGGAATTACATTGACTTAGTTTATTTAACACCATTTAGGAACACAGTATTTCTACAACTGATTGGCTTACTTTCATAACACTAGTACCTGTTTGTAACCATTCTGGGGAGGTATCATTTGCATTCTCGAACAGAGTAGGCACAGTCACTATTAGGAACACTGTAATCATCTCTCTTCCAGGCTGAATGAGGTACATAGGTGGAGTTATTTTCCCAAGCGTTCAGTGTGCTCATGCCTATTTTTCTTTGCTGTCATATTAAACTGCCATTTCTGACTACTTTAAATGAGCATATAATGAGCCCATCTTCTGCCTCTTCCATAAACATACAGCCACATCAGTTTACCACATGATTAGGATTGCCAGAAGAGCACATTGTTGCCATAAAAGGGAAGCCTCCGATTGTTAATCTGACTATCAAGTTAGTAATCAGCTTGTAAAATGCTATATAACTTTACTAGGCAGAAATTCCCTAAAATTAGCTTATTTGAATCAGTGTGGAGTGGATCAAGTTTTAATAAGGAACAAGCTTTAATCAGTGTGGGGAGGATCAAGCTTTAACAAGGTAAGATTGGGGGTCCAGCAGGGATAGGTTTATTCTGAACCCCCAATCTTACCTTGTTAAAGCTTGATTCTCTTAGGGGCTTCAAAGATTTGGTTTGCTCTTTTTCTGGTCTGGAGATCAAACTCATCTCATCCACAGACTATTTTATGTTTCTTTCTTCTAAACTCAGGAACCTATAACTCCTTGTAGTTTGAAAACCTCTGGCACTGTTTTTTACTCTACCTTGTTTTATTTTATGTATTTGTCTTATTTTCCCCCCTCCCCACCATAAATCCATTACATAAGTTTTCAAGACAGGAGTTGTCTATGCCTTACTTATTTGTATATCCTGTAACATGAGGCCATGATAGGTGTTTAATACGTCCATTCAAATCGAGTTAGAAATTTAACCCATTAATAATGTGAGATTGATATAAATATTTGAAGATTAAACAAATGAAAGTAGGTCCATTCATTTCATTTTCTATAATTGCTATAATCACAGAGACTCAGTCTATTACAAGGTTTTCATTTAAAAACAAGGTTTCCAAACAATCTTGTTTATATTCCCCAGATTAGGGTTCTTGCTCCAGATTTGTAATAGAAGCCTAGTTTTTCACTCGCAGTGTGCTCCTTGTCACTACACTTTGGATAACAGAGCTTGCTGGTATTCCAGCAGGACCCCTGGAAGTGTTCTGCTAATAGAATTGTTGCATACACCTACACTCAAAATCTCTGATTCGAATAAACATTATTAAAATCACACAGCTAAATTTCCCTATGGGCCAAAAATCTGTTTAGCACCTCCAATTACTTCTATGGGATTTTATAACTTAATACTCTAGTATTTTACTTTTTCTTTAGTCTTTATTGCATGTAGAATATGTATTAAAACTTAGAGACATAAAACATGCTTCACTAAAATAAAAAAATTTTCTCTCAAGTTCTGCAGCAAATACTTTAACCGCTGAGGAAAATTCTGGATTTGCCAAACGTATTCGACAAGATAATTCAAGCAATAAGCACTTACAAGAAAACGGACCAGCAGTGGGTATGTCTGAGTTCTTACTTGGTATTTAATAACATACTTACCTAACACATGTATAGTACTATAGTGTTTTCATAAGAATCTCCTTTTATCTACTCATTACCTTTATTACATGGTAAGTATGACTATCCATGTTGTAAATGAGAAAACTTAAGACACAAAATAGAAAACACTGAGCTAGTACTGCACAAATACTTCACGGTAGAACCAGAACTCAGAACCATATCTCTAAAACTATATTCTGCATCCCTTTTGTTTTCTATACTGCTTCACATGGTAGAAGAATTAGTAAATAAATTAGTTGAACTTATTAGCAAAAGGTATTGTTTAATAGGTTGTGATTAAATATATTTTATAAATAAACTTTATCTACTTGAAATAATTCCATTACCCTCTTATTCTTGATAATCTGGCCTCAGACTCACTTGTGCAATTAGAGCCAGGCTCCAGTACCTAGTTATAATTATGTTGTAACTCCCAGTAGCAGTTTGAAAAAGATGCAGATGGGATGAATACATCCTCTCGATTACATTTGGGGGTGACAGGAGTCCATGTCAAGAATACCACATCCTCAGTAAAACTGGAAGAGATAGTGCCACTCATTTTCTCCGCCTTGGTGTATAGGCTTCTGTTTCCCTAGCACTCCAGTTCCTAGACTTCGTTCCGGAACTATGTGTTTACACACACTACGTGCTAGGTTCTGTGATGGATACAAACATTAAGAACCAGTTTGCTTCTTCTCTAAAGGAACTTAAAATCCTAGCACTTGGAATTTAAAGGGGTTTCATGAGATAACAAGTGTTTCTAAGAAAACATGAAAACTATTGCTCTTTCATCACAGTAATATTCCATTTCTCAATAGCTTTGCCAAACTGCATTGGTACATCCTTACTTCTTATGGTAGCCAGTGGTGGTTGTTTACCTTAAGTTTAATGGAAATATCTTTTATGCAAATTTAAAACTCAATAAAGTAAAATTTACTGTGTTTATTTGGTTTATCATGCCGTATTTAATATTGCTTAGCAATGTGTATATGCAGTTGGTGTAGATATGTGCTGCCCCATGGATCTCCTGAAAAAATTCTCCAGGAAGTCATAATTCTGCAACAAAATGATGTTTGTGATAACTGTCAAAAAATAGATATTTGGGTTTTCTAATATGCTTATTTTCTAATAATATAAAATAATCTATTAGATATCAAGTATCTCATGTGTAAAAAGAGATGAATTAAAAAATATATGCTATGGAGAAAAATAGTAGGAGATGATACTAAACTACAGTGCTTGCCAAAGAAAAAAGAAGAGCAAAAGCTAGGTTAAAGAATAATTTGTCATTAAGGATAATTCACTACAACTTCAGTTTGCAATATGGAGAAATTGATTTCTAAAAATAGAATGAATGGTGACTATTCTTTTTGAATGATGCTTTTACCATATTTATAAATTTTCCTATTTCTTCTCTAGAATATAAAAGAAACATCCATAAAGTAAAGCCAAACATGGTCAGAAAGTTTGGAAGAAGCATTTCAAAAGGAAATCTAAGATAAATCACTTCAAAATCAACAGACATTAAATGGACAGCTCTGCTTTTAAGAGGGTTTCTTACCAGCACCCTTGCAGAAACGTACTTCAAGTTTTTGAAGAAGACCATCTTAAAACTAGTTTTACCCAAATAGCTTCAGCAAGCAGAACATGAAATTCCTTCACTCTTATTCTTTGGTATTCTAAGCAACTAAACAATTTTAACAGAAAAGGTTATGTTTTAAGTTTCTAAAATATTGGCTACCTTTTAAAATCCCTACGTCATCATGGTGGTAGCTCATTTTTGCTATTTTGCAGCAGGTTGATTAGGATATTTTAGAAAACGATAGTGAGTTAAATGTCATTACTGCTTTTTGAAAATCAGGAGAAGTTAGAGGTGATAAAATTATGGCCCGGGATGTATTTGGTCTTACATTATTTTAATCATATATGTGACCTCTTTGCTAAAATATTTTGATGTTCAAATGTACATATATGTTCCCATAAAGCTGTTGTAAATATTATTTAAATAGTCTTCATGAATAAAATATTAATTTTGTTCCTTACTACTTAGTATATTAAAGTCATAGGTTTATAATGTTCACTTTTGTGTCTTATTACTACGCCTTGCACATTTTGAACTATATCATATAAAATGTGAATTTTGTAGATTTGTATTTCAGGTTAAATCAAGATACATGGCACTAGAACCAAGGAATGAAAAGAATCCATAGTTTCTCTAATGATAATGAGGAGATGTTTTAATTATTCCTTTTACTATAGGAAGTACATGGAGCTACAGCTTAATTATATCTCCCTGTTCCCCTGCATTGCTTGGTCTGTTTATCTCCTGAATACAACAAATATTTGGTTAAATGTGCTTTTAACTTTATATGGCTTAGGACTGTCCCATCAAAGCAACATCCAAAGGTTTTACTACAGAAATGTTAATGTCTAATTACCAGGTGTTGTCCTAGACCCCACTGGTGATGATAAATAAGAACTGTATGAACTATGTTGCCTTTCTAAAAAAATTCTTTTTAATTCTGATGTAGCCATGAGAATTTCATATGATATTTTATTTTTTTACTTAGCAATGAAGAAAAAAACTCTTGGCAAAGTTAAGCAATATGCCAAAGATCTCACAACTAGACAGTGGCAGAGTTGGGATTTTGCACTAAGGTTGCTGTAAAGAGTTGCTGCTATTCCTATATTGTACACTGCCTCCATCTACAGTGGGCTAATACTCTGCATGTGCATCACTATACAAAAAGTATCTACTATAGAAAAATTCCATTCCCATGGTCACCTGGGATTTGCTAATTTGGGAAAAATTTAGTCAATGCATTTTATAATTATAAGTAAATTATATTTAGTTCATATTGTTTATATCGAAAAGCAGTTTACATTCTTACTGGTAAAGTATTAATAAAAGTCTTTAGTATCACTGAAAGTATTTACAATCCTATGGATTGCTTTTTCAAGGACTGTTTTGTGTCTTTTACAATCACAATAGCACATTATTTGTTGGATATTTACAACTTGCTCGTAAGTTGTTGTCAACCACTCAAGATATGTTACAAAATCACTGGTTATATTTGAATCTTTGTGTTAAGACTCCATATTCAAAGTCTGAAGACACAGCTTAGACACTAAGTCAAATATAATCTTGTGTTTCAGCAATCAGCACAAGGCATTTGTTTTTGAAATACATATGTAGAGTACTAAGTTCTTTCTCTCCTGTAACTTCCCCCAAAAGGCAGTAGTTGACAGATAGTCCATACTTCTCAGAGTGAACGTCATTTAACAAACCACTCAAGCCTTGCAAATGGCAAGTTCTGCATAACAGCCACTATAGGGACTAGTTCATCAAGTTAAGAGCTGTCAGGAAAGGTTAGTTCTGATATATTTCTGTCACGTGTGTATGTGCCTAAAGCATGCTATATGAAACAAAATAAGCCAGGAGTCATAATTTTTTTTAAAAAGTTCATTCTCATGCTTTCAAACAGATGGAAGATAAAAAGATTAAGAAGATTAGTAACATGACAGGAAAACAATTCTATGATCAGGATTTCTCAACCCTATAGAATATTCTTATCCTCTGAAGCTACTTCTCAAATATGAAATGTTAAGAATACTTTTTATTAAAAATATTTTTTTTATTGATTTTAGAGAGGAATGAAGAAGGAGAGAGATAAAAACATCAATGATGAGAGAAAATCATTGGCTGCCTCCTGCACACCCCCCACTGGGGGATCGAGCCCGCAACCCAGGCATGTGCCCTTGACCAGAATTGAACCCGGGACCCTTCAGTCCACAGGCCAACGCTCTATCCACTGAGTCAAACAAGCCGGGTGTAGGAATACTTTCTAATGCACCAACCTCTGCACACATTCCTTTCCCTTTCCCATTTTCTTTACATGTGGCTATTTCAGAATAACAGTATGTCTTTTATTATTATTATTTCCTCCTCTTCTTCCCCATAACAATTATGTATGTTCTTAACTCCCACCCTAATTATTATTCAGTTGAAAATGTCCTTTCATTCAAGTACATTGCTCCCCTGAATTCTTCATCTATATATATAACCCTAATATATAACCCTAATATGCAAATAGACCAAATGGCAGAACAACTGAACAACCAGTCGCTATGATGTACACTGACCACCTAGGGGTGCATGGGGAACATGGCGGGCATCAGCAGCAGGTAGTAGAGCATGGAACAAGGCATCAGCCACGGTGGGATGGTGGGGCAGGTGAGCAGGGGCACCAGACCAAGGCGGGGCGCTGGTTGCTGTCATTGGGGCGAGCCTCTGGTTACTGAAAATTTTTTGCTCCCACTTGCCGCAGTCCTGGGTGCTTGCACCTGCTGCCAGCACCAGTCCTGCTCACTCACACCCACTGCAGGCGCCAGAGCTGCCACTCATACCCGTAGCCAGTGCCCAGCACCGGCCCCAATTGCTCAGCACTGTCAGCAGTTGCGAGCAGTGGCTGCCAGCCCAGATCACCCCTGAGACTTCTCCACCTGCTCCTGAGGGGCAATCAGGACAGCAGCAGCTACTCGCACATGCTGAAGGCACCGACCCTGCTCGCACCGCTGCTGGCGCCAACCCCAATCTCCTGTGCCATCAGCGGGTGCGAGCGGGGCTGGCGCCGTCAGAGCATGGGAGTGGGGCTGCCGGAAGACGGGACCAGGGACCGCAGCAGGAGGGGCTGGGTGGAGGCTCAGAGGATGGGCCAAGACCTGCCCCTGTGCCCACTGCAGCCTCACGGGCCACAGTTCCTTTCAAGGTGCATGAATTCATGCACTGGGCCCCTAGTATCAAATAAAAGCAGAAGAAACCATCAACAAAGTGAAAAGAGAACCCACTGTATGGGAGAACGTATTTTCCAATGATACAACTGATAAGGGATAAATATATAAAGAACTTATACAACTCATCAAGAAGACAAACAATCTAATTAAAAAATGGGAAAGGTCCTGAGTAGACACTTCTCCAAAGTGTACATATAGATGGCCAATAGACATGAAAAAATGTTCAACATCACTGTTCATCAGAGGGATGTAAATCACAATGAGATAGCGCCTCATACCTGCCAGAATGGCTATCAAATCAACAAGTGCTGATGAGGATGTGAGAAAAAAGGAACCCTTGTACACTATTGGTGGAAATGCAGACTTGTGCAGCCACTATGGAAAACAGTATGGAGTCTTCTCAAAAAAATTTAAAATGGAACCATCTTATGATCCAGCAATCGCACTCCTGGGAATATATCCTAAGAATCACAAAGCACCAATCAGAAAGTACATGCACCCCTATGTTCATACCAATGCTATTTACAATAGCCAAGATCTGGAAATAGCCCAAGTGTCTATCAGTATATGAGTGGATATAAAAGCTGTGGTACATTTACACAATGGAATAATGCACAGCTGTAAAACAAACAGGGAAATCTTACCTTCTGAGACAGCAAAGATGGACTTGGAGATTATTATGCCAAGTGAAATAAGCCAGTCGGAGAAAGACAAATACCATATGATATCACTTATATGTGGAATAATGAACAAAATGAAATGACAAACAAAATAGAAACAGGCATGGATATAAGGAGCAGACTGAGGAGTCAGAGGGGAGGTGGGAGGGAGAGACTAGGTGAAAGAAGGTGAAGGGATTACCCAAAAAACATACGCATGACCCATAGACACAAACAACAGTGTGGTGACAGCATAGAGGCGTAATTGCCTGATTAGTCCTCGGGCCTCATATTGTTATGGAATCCCTGTAAGTACATACATAATTAAATTTGGTTATTTTCTTTTGTTAATCTGTTTTATGTCATTTAAATTATTTGACCAGCCAGAAGAACTAAGGGGAAAGTGGAAAATTTCTCCTCTCCCACAATATATACCAAAACTTCAAACATGGTCCTCTGAGTTTCTGAATGAAATCACTCCCCATACACAGGTGACCCATAACTATGTTATCCAATTAATTCCACTGGATTGCATCTTCTGAAAACCAATCCTCAAGTGTCCATCTTCAGTTCAAACACACCCACTTCTATTATAATGATCGGTGTGGCACATTTTTTATGATTTTTTAAAAACATTTTATATTATTGAAATGAACAATTTTTATATTACTCTTCTTCACCTATAATAAAAGGCTAATATGCAAATCGACTGAACAGCGGAACGACTGGTTGCTATGATGCACACTGACCTCCAGGGGGCAGATGCTCTACACAGGAGCTGCCCCCCTGGGGGTCAGTGCACTCCCACAGCTCAACCAGAAGCCCTGAGCCGGGCTCACGGCTGGCTAGCGAACACAGCAGCAGTGTCAATAGCCTCTCCCACCTCCACGGCAGCGCTAAGGATGTCAGACATCCCCCAAGAGCTCCTGGACTGCGAGAGGGCACAGGCTGGGCTGAGGGGACCCCCGAGTGCACAAACTTTGTGCACCAGGCCTCTAGTCTATATATAAAAGCCTGAGCAACCAAACGACCGAACAAATGACCAGTCATTATGAAGTACACTGACCACCAGCGGACAGATGCTCAATGCAGGAGATGCCCCCTGGTGGTCAGTGCACTCCCCCAGCCAACCTCCCATGGCCCCTTGCCACCCACTTCCAGGCAACCTCCAATGGTCCCTCCCCCCAGCCAACCTCCCACAGCTCCGATCAGCCCCTATTGCTGGCCAAGCTGAGGGACCCCACCCGTGCATGAATTTGTGCACAGGGCCTCTAGTTTATCTTATAAAATTCCACCAGTTTTCCCTCATAAACATTCTTTCATCTTTTCCTAATATGCTTTTTTTTTTAAAAAAAAAAAAAAAGGCCAAGAATTAGAATCAACAGAGCTTGCCCAGCTGTCACTGGTACACTAGCAGCAAAGCCAGGAGACAAAAGGTATCAAAAAGAGATATGCATGAAGGAAAAAAAGTAGAACATCCATCAGTAATTATAGTCACACTAGAGGCCTGATGCACAAAATTTGTCCGGCTT